AATGATTAGACCCACTTTATTATTAAAATTGATGGTTAATAAATAATGGTTAATAACTTATGGTTAAAATGTAGTTTAATACCTCTCTCAATAAATTTCAACAACCTGGGCTAGTCCACTTGTTCATTAAATTTACTTTGTAAGTACAGACACTTCCAATATCTCCTCTATCAATATCCATTGGTGTGCCATTAATTAACTGTTGCATAATAATTACTGATTTCTTTTCATATTTACTGAAAGACTTTATTATCTGAAATCATCTATTTTTTAATTAAGCCACTAAGTCTGATGCAATTTGTTTATATCTGTTTGATTAATTTTCAACACCCTGCATATTATACATGTACATGTATGAACCAATCAGTCAGTTGACAATTATCATTACCGTTTACCCTTACATATCTGAAGTATAATCACTGTGGTAAGGCATTAAGAATTAAAACAGATAAGAAAAAATAGAAAAATCCCTTGATCATGAACATACTTTTAATAATCAAAGTATGTTTTGGGAAAACAGCTTGGAAAAAAATTGCATTGATGATTGTATTGCAGGTACCAATGTTCTATTGCCTACATGTAGTTTATTACCTGGATGAAAGGATCACTTACAATGATTTCAGCATAGTCCACCCACCTCCCACCCTTCAGCAAAATCAAGCAGGCAAATTACGATCAGGTTGTACACACGTATATGTGCTGACCATGTTTTGTACAATGCAACAAGACAACATACAAATTCAACTTGCTGGTGGCCCACACAGTAAACAGCTACAGTAAACTGCTAACAAGTTTGCTTGCTGCAAAAAGTCCAGCCAGTATGGCTCTTTGCCAACTGAAAGAGTGTGGGAAAATAAAAACAGTGCAAGACTGACAGGTACATTGTTATGACAATGAAATTCCACTACCAATTTGACCAGCTGGGGGAAAAGGGTCCAGTCCAAATGTCATGTGATGACACTAAGGACCACCCAAACATCCCAAATCTTGACATGTGATTATGGAGATGAACATGTACAAGGAATATCCATGATAACATTATTCCCATGGATATCTTGTAAGGTGTTGTAGGCCTCATAAATATTCACTGCCTGAAAGTTCATCTACCAGTTCTTTTCAGGTTATTTGAATACTGTTAACATTCTTAACAGGAAATAGTCTAGGCCTATAATTCAAATTCCAACTTTTAAAATTTTATCCCTCTCAACATAAAGTTTGATTTTGTTTCCATACACAATCAAACTAATCCCTTAGTGTTACTTACAAAACGGATTGGGAATTTCCTTTAAGGCAAAAATTTAGAAAGAATCCATTGCAAATTGTGTCCCAAAATACTGCGATCTAAAACTGGATTGAAAATCTTTCAGAACATGTTGGATTTTAAAACTCATTAAAAAATGACTGTGCTACAGCATAAGAACAATTCATTTCCAAAAAGATACAAAATTTTTTTGGGGGGCTGGATACAGGTGAAAACTCACAAAAAAAACATGATCATACACAGGTAGTACCCAAGATAAATACATACCCAATTTGAATTCACAACTCTACAACATGGACACAAAACCAAAGGGCTCTACACACTTCAGCAAAAAATGCTCTAGATGCAAAAATCATAAGCCATTCATTACCGTTTCCGTTGCACAATGATGTCCATTATTCAAAATACTTTACATTGCTGACGACAACATTGATCACTTCTTTTCCAATACACGTACTGTAATTTTCGGAATACAGGCCGCACAGAGTGTAAGCCGCATAAGTCGCAGTAGTGAGGCAAGGCACAGCATTTAGTAACTGATGTTGCTGTATAAGCTGTAGAGACTTTTGTCAGAGAGAATCAACGTATAAGCCACGGTCTGTATTCCAAAAAGTACAGTATGTGCTTTATGAATACCGCAGGAGGGTAACTGTTAAAGCTGAAATTATTCTGAGGGCAAAAACACGTGGAGAAGAAACTGTCATTTCAATTTTGCTTGTGAAATATTTTCCAAGGGCCAACAAATATGGGGGGCAAACTGTCATTTCAATTTCTGTGTCAGAAAATTTGCTGAGCGCCAACAGTTATTAGCTGGCTTTGCGTACTCTGTGTACAAGACATTTTATCATTAAATGATCAAATGTTTTATTCTCAGTATTCCATATAAGTGTTCGATTGGTTTGTCACAGATAATTTCATTAAGGAGATGCAACAATGTGTTGTTTGAATGTTTAATTAATGTTAAGATATGCCAACAACGGCTAAAACCACACCACAATAGAAGATGAACATTTGTGCATGCACAGGTTATGCATACACAGTACTATACTATACACACACACGTACATACATACAGTACATGTACACGCACATGTAGTAATGCATGTGCGTGCATATGTACTGTATATTTACTGCACAGAATGCCATAAGCAATTCTGTGTCAACAAGGGCTCTTGTACTGTCGCAGGCAGCCAATCAGCTGCTTTGGGGCAACATTGTGATGAATATTCATTGTGCTCTGCCAATGCTGTAGGAAGAGTGGTAAAAAGTACATACCGGTACACCATATGTACCGGTACATGTACACTGTACATGTAATTCACAATCTGTGCAATTGGTTTCTGGTACACACTGTATGTGTGAATCTCTCCTGTGTGTTATAGTTGGTATGTATTGTAACAGTTTGCAAGCAATACTGTGTGTTAGCATGGCTCTGTGAAGCTGACAAGCTAATTGATCCAATTTTTACGGCAAATTTGGACAAGAAAAACTGAGAAATCTCTCCTATGCTTAACTACCAAGAAGTGGTACTTGAATTATTAGGTAGTGTTTTACCAGCTTTCTTTATCTGCAGGTATGTGTGGAATTGGAGGGAAGTATCTTGGTCAAAATGTCTTTATAAAATTTGTACAAAAAACAGAATTCTAAAAAGGATCTACTGAATGATTAGCATAATGTGTCAGCCAATCACATTAGAAAATTTAGACCAATAAGGGAACTACTGTGACAAAACTTTTAACCAATGGGACATCTTCTTAATGGGAGGCATGGCTTGATGGATTTTGGGAATGTAGTTTAAGGTCAGTTCTGTCATAGCCTTTATAGGGGACAGATCTAATACAAAGTGCAACTTCCAAATTTTTGTTTACCTGCCTCCGCCCCATCTCCACCTTGTGTTATTACATTGTGTGAACGAAATTTTGACATTGCGCTTGGCATTATCACAAATATTTGGTTTGATGTTTCTTGGATGTACACCAAGAACCATTTCTTCCCCCCCCAGCGGTTCAGACAGGGGCATTGTATCCTGCATCTAGACTTGAGTCAGCTAAGCACTTTGAAGCAGTTTTTGGCAGAAATTTCGACAGACATGGTCAAGAATTGATCTATTATAATGGCTAAAAAAGTTATTTTACCAGTTAAAGCTGTAGAGCATACAATGGAGGCACTATAGCTGTAATCTAAATGTTTTGTGACAGGCACTCGAATGACTCCATGGATGTTCACCTTGGGCCATTCCTCCAATAAATCTCCAACGGGGAACATTGGGTGCCTGCAGTTTTAATAATTCAGGTTTAGAGTTTTCACTACAGAGTTATTAATTAATTGGTGTAAACATGACTGTTGGCTTTTACTGATTTCAGGGTCTGGTGTGCCTGATTGTTATTCAGCATTTATGGGTGAGCCAGGTGTGTTATAATTGTTACATTAACATGGGCTACAGTGCCATGTTTAGAGTTGTATAATGGTGGACCAGGTGTGGCCTAACTTTGATGGCCTGATGTGCCACATTTACGGTGGGCCTGGTGTGCCCTAATTAAACGTATGATGGTCTAGTGAGCCATACTTGAAGCAGGGTCTGGTGTGCCCTGAATATTAACACGGTCTAATGGGCCGTGTTTAGGGTGGGCC